CTTCAGCTCTGACAGGTAGGAAGTATCAGACACTGAGCCTAAGAGAAGGGACAGGGCCTGCTTGAGGCTACCCAGCAATGGTGATGGAATCAGGATTCAAACCCCCGGTTGCTGGATTCAAAGACAGATCATCGGGTTGAAGATTCAACCAGTGGAAGGAAAGTCATGCAGTCTGCATGGGGATGAGAAAAGTGGTGACAGAGGAACATTCGTTGAGTTCCTTTCAGGTGCCAGGCAGTACAAGGGGACTGGAGATATATTGCATCTTCTCGCTACCCCGATAAGCCTGCAAAGTGAGTATTATTATTTTTATTTTACAAATGGGGGAACAGGCTCAGAGTGGTGAGATAACCAGCCCAAGGTCACACAGCTAGGGAAGCATCAGTGTCTATGGCTATATTACCCTGATGTAGTGGGGAGGAAAGCCAGAGAACAAGACCCTGGTAATGTTTAGCTGCTGCTTTTCCAGGGAGAAAAATTAAACTGACAGATACATATGTTCCGGAAGGTAAGGAGGTGGACACTACTGTGGGCCTTGGTGAAATATCCCTCAGGATTCCCCACCTCCCCTAGCCCTTCTCTGGTCTTCCTCTCACCCAGCAACCTCTGGATAGCTAATTTGGCCTTCATGGACCCTGATGCTGGGGAGGGCATACTCTGGATGACAGAATTAAAACCCCTCACCATGGGAACTGCACATACCCACTCGCTGTGTGAACCACATGGCGTTCTGAGGTCCAGGTCCTCCGTTACGGTGATCCCACCAAGGCCTTTTGCCCCGCGGACCCTACCAACACAGCCCCTGGTCTTTTGCTCTAACAGCCCTGACAACCTTCTTTAACATAAATGGGGGTCCTCATTCATAGTCACGTAAACCTTTTCGATGTTTTAACCAATAGTCGCTTAATATTTAAAGCTTACGGTGCACACTCATATATATTATTTCATTTAACCTCCTTGCAACTCAGGGAAGTTGAGAATTACTAGGTCCTCCTCTTACAGACAAGGACACTGAGACACAGTGAGGCTACATAACTTGCCCGTGGTGACACATCCTGTAAATGGCTGAGCCCGGATTCAAATCCAGATCTGTCTCAATTGAAAGTCTGCTCTCTTTCATGAATATTATTCCCACAGCAGGGGTTAAGAAAGCAGGAAGGTTCTTGGTGCCTTTGTGAGGGTGATGAAGCTTACCTCAGGGAGGCTGGAGGATTGCCGAAGGGTGGGATGATGTTGGTGCTGTCATCAGATCCAGGTCTCCTGACTCCCAGTCTAGAGGACACTTCCTCCCAGACCATATTGCCATTCCTATCAGACCATGTAATTTCTTTTTCTGATTGGGACACAGAGCCAGCAGCCAACAAAGATCACAATCTGTCTGCCTGAAGTCTCCCTGTTTTTTTTTTTTTTAATGCATTTCAAACAAGAACCAGGTTACATCACACTCGTGTGTGTTGAACTGGCCTGTACTTCTCTGGAGACACTCCAGATCCCTATTCTTGTCCCCTAGATGACAGATAAGATGGGGTGACCCAACAGCACCACGGCCTGTTCAGCTCCTGCACAGTCTCGCTACCCATCACCCTTAACCCCTTCCAAACACTGGCTTCTGGTCCCCACCGACATCCCCATCCAATCACTTCCCAAGTCTTCTCAGTGCCACATTCTAAATATTCCACAGCACCACCCAAGTCTAGGCTTGAGTCATTTCCCACCTGGATTGTCATAACGGCCTCCTAGTGTGTCTCTGTCTACAGCCTTGGCCCCTCCAATCTAACCTTCCCACTGCAGCCAGAGGGGCTTCCCACTGCTCTTTAAAGCCCTTCTCCTGCTCTTCACAGTCCTTACCACTTAAACTCCTAAAGGGCTGCCATTTTGGTCTCATCTCCTGCATCTGAAGTCCTTCAGCCATACCCGACCCGTGACAGCTCCAACAGTCCACCTTCCTTCCTCCCCTTTCTGTCTGCAATGCCCTCCCTACAACGACCCACCCCAAGCAATCTGCTTAATTTCTACTCAGTCTTAGAAACTCAGCTTAGATGTCTCTTCCACCGGGAAGCCTTCCCTGACCTCCCGAAACTGTGTTTGAGTCTCTCCTCCTGCCCCCATATGCAGACATTTTTGTCTGCAGTATGTTCCCTGCTACACAACCCCTGTGCCTAGAACTTTACCTGGCTTATGGCAGACACTCAATATATATATTTAAATGAACATTTCCCATGGCTTTCTGGAATTCCTCCACCACAGAACTTACCCCATAGATTATAACTGCCTCTTTCCTTTTCCGGCTCCCCAAGTAGACCAAAAGCTCTGTGAGTCAGGGACCATGCCTTCTTGGTCAATATTTTACCCCAGTGCCTAGTAGGATTCCTGGCATGTGCTAATGGTGTACTTACTTTTGATGAATGAGGATTGGGTGTTGAGGAGAGGAAGCCCTGGGCCTGGGTCAAGGGAGGGGCCTTCCACTGAGAGAAACATTTGCTTCTAACACAAAAGCATGTTGGAGGTGCTGAGATAGGGTAGGAGAACCCATCAAACTGGACATCAGAAATCAGCCACAAACTAAGTGCAGGCCACACCTGGCGGGACCCTTATCTCATTGAGATAAGGCTCACATATGGGATACCTTTGGTGTGCATGCTCAAACTCTTCTTTCAGACAACTCCCTCTATCTCCTTTGCCACCACATCAGGGGCGAGCTAGGCAGGGGCAGCACGGAATGTGCGTATGCGTGGAGCACAGGAGTTAGCGGATCCTGGGGAAGCAATGGGCCGCACACCATCGTGTGTGTGTGTGTGTGTGTGTGTGTGTGTGTGTGTGTGTGTACGGGGGCAGTGTGGCACATAGAGATGGCCAGGACTTTGGAAACCAAGGGTCCTCTGCTGCAGAGCAGAGCCTACTCCATTGGCCGGTGAGCCAGGTAGTTATTAAAGCAGACTTCAAGGTGACTGTCCCAGTCTTGGTGACTGGTGGGGGGACTCTCCCTCAGTTCTTACCACAGTCTCTCCAGTGAGGTACTGGATCTGGAACACTGGTCTAACACCTCGTCTCCCTACTGCTCGTCCCTCCCTCTGAGGCCATCACCCTGCCCCCATGTTCCCAGCTAGGTTACTGGATCCCCCAGAGCCACGAGGGTGCAACCAACTGTGTGGACTAGTGCTAAGTCATGTCTCGACCAGAAAGGAAGTTTTCCTGCACAGAGTGTGGTAAGAACTCCACAAACACTCCCCAAGGGTTCAATCAAGGCTGAAAGGAGCACTTCCACTTCTGGGGAGAGAGAGTTTGTATATAGAGAGTTAATATCATCCTTTCCCTTTCTTTTCCATCAACTATAATTCTTTCTCTGAGAAAACTAAGAGTTCAGAAAGGAGAAACGGGTCAATCCAAAAACAAAAAGTAAAGAAAAGCAGAAACTGTCACAATCTGTCACAACCCTTATGTACTGACCTTGAAATGAAAATCAATACTCAGGAAACTAGAATTACTAAATAATCCCTAAAAAATCAAGCAAGCTAGAAAGTGACCTCTAATTTCATCAGGACAGGCTTGGGGGTTTTCGGGGACATTTTATGAGGAAGCCAAGAGGAAAAGCGAGTTGGCAAAGGACATGCAAAGGCAGAGAGAAAAATGCACAGAAGATGAGCAGGAAGGAGGGGAAGATGGAGGGAGGCTAAGGGGAGACAGAGAGGAAAGGATGGTGGGGAAAGGAGAGAAGATGGAGGAGGGGTGGGAGGAACACATCACATGAAGTAAGGAGAGAAAAACACAAGGCGGGAGTTGGGGGGACAGACAGAAGGAGAGGGGGATGGGGACTTCCCTGGTGGAGCAGTGGTTAAGAATCCGCCTGCCAATGCAGGGCACACAGGTTCGAGCCCTGGTCCGGGAAGACCCCACATGCCGCGGAGCAACTAAGCCTGTGCGCCGCAACTACTGAACCTGTGCTCTAGAGCCCCGCGAGCCACAACTACTGAGCCTGCGTGCCACAACTATGGAAACCCACGCACCTAGAGCCCATGCTCCACAACAAAGAAAAGCCACCGCAATGAGAAGCCTGCTCACCGCTGCGAAGAGTAGCCCCCGCTCACCGCAACTAGAGAAAGCCCGCGCACAGCAACGAAGACCCAATGCAGCCAAAGATAAATAAACAAATAAATAAATAAATAAAAGTAGAGGGGACAAGGCGGGTACAGACAAGCGAAAGGGAAAGTAGTGCACAGAGGGAAGACAAAGGGCGGGGGCAGAAACACAAGAGAGATGGACGTCTGGTCTATAGACCAGACGTAAGGTTGACAAGAGGGAGCGGGGGAAGGAGATGGATGGACTGGGAGCTTGGGGTTAATAGACTCGAACTATTACATTTCGAATGGATAAACAACAAGGTCCTACTGTAGAGCACGGGGAACTCTATCCAATCTCCTGGGATAAACCATAATGAAAAAGAATATTAAAAAAAGAATGTGTGTATGTGTATAACTGAGTCACTTTGCTGTACAGCAGAGATTGGCACACCATTGTAAATCAACTCTACTCCAATAAAAAATCTAAAAAAAAAAGAGAGAGAGAGACATGTTCAGGGTGAGAAGGAGGGGTCAAGACTGTCAAAGTCTTCCTTAGCAGCCCCGGGAGGAGCATCTGGCCTGTGTACTTACATACTTTAGATGATGGAAGACTCACTCCTTTGTGAGGGGACAGAGGAGAGAGAGAGAGGGGAGAAGCACAGGTATGGGAAGGCCATGGGCCCAAGCGCCCGAGGAAGACTTGAGGCATAGCACAGGCAGATGGAGGGGGGTGTCCTTTAGGAGGGCAGAGAGCAAACAGGACAATCCAGAGATGACACCAGCAGAACCAGTCATGTCCGTCCTCACCCCAGAGTCTCAGCCCTCACCTGAGTTGGAGACCAAATTCCTGACCTGCTTGGTAAATCCTGGCGGACTTGGGTACTTTCATCTGGATGCGAGCTGGCCCAGGGCTGGGGGGTGGGGGGGACCTGCGAAGGATACAGGCTTCCTCCGTGTAGGGCACAGCGGCCGCGGTGCCGCCGATGATGTAGCTATAGAAGGAAACCTCGAGGGTGTAGCAATACGAAGTGTGGTCCAGCAGCCCACCGAGGAAGCGACGGCCAGTTCCTGCTTTCACGGCATCTCGGTTAAAGGACGTGCTGGACTGTGAAAGACATAGAAGAGAGGAGAGAATCAGGGCTGGACACCTACTGGCTATGGGACCTTGAGCGAGCACCTCTGGATCTCAGCTTCCTCATCTGAAAAGTGGGATGTGACTCCCACTTTGCAAGATTATTATAAGGATGGATTAAATAGACAATTAAATGAAAGCACCCAGCACAGTTCTTAGGGCATAGTAACTGTCATTTAACAAAGATTTGTGGAAATTTGAATGGGGACAGATGGAGCAAGGAAAAGTAGACAGAGAATAAGAATGATATTACGATAATCAAGACTGAAATTTGGGCACTGCTTTCAACTTTATGATATTGTTTTACATATAGTATCTCATTTAGGCTTCACCCCCTCGACAGGGGCGTCGTAATGTTTCCCCTCTAAGGTGAGGTAATGGAAGTTTATAGTAAGTGACACAGGTCTGGACCAGGACTAAGTGACTCCAGACACCCCAACCCTCCTTCACAAAGCTCCCGCTCCATTAGGGACAGCTGAACTCGTGCTCAGCATCACCAGAGCACAGGCATCATGGCTCTTCTTTCCTTGGGTGTCTACTACCCGCAGCACAGTGGATAGAGAGGAAAGAGCCAGCAGGTCCGCATTTCAAGTCCTCTCTTCAAAAGTGTGTGAGATGTTAGGCAACTAGCCTGATTGGTCTGAGCCTCAGTTTCCTCATCTGTAAAGCGGTGGTAAAAATCACATCTCTTTTACAGAGCTGTGAGGGTCAGTTCACTTGTGGTTAGAAGGGCTTTCTATGCTAACCCATGGAAATCGCAGTAAATGAAGAACCTGGTTTTAATAAGAGAAGGCACGTCCTGTTCAGCATGATATAAGAGAAGCAGGAAAAGGGGGTGGGGCGGAAGAGGGAGAAAGAAAACAGCAAAACAAGACAGATATAGAGACACTGAAAGAAAGAGAGCTGTGTGTATGTATGTGTGTGCGCCTTTGGACGTAAAGGAAAGGATCAGAAAATTAGAGTCTCAGATCAGAAAGGACCGTTGAATTTGAAGCTCATGTAGTGAAATCCAACTCTCTCATTCTAGAGTTGGGTACTGAGGATCAGAGAAGAGGGGAGACAGAGGCTGGACTAGGATAGATGACCTTGACCCAAGCACTAAGCTCTTAAGGAGGCTGCAGTGCAGGAACTCCATCAGGCAAGGCCAGAAATAAAGCTCCTAGACTACAGCCTTTTTGTAGACCCTGGAAACCTCACCCCTGTGAGGGTCTCTGAAGTCTGTGGCCCAGCCTCCTGGAGAATCACAGTCTCCCAGGGTCTCCTCCAGAAGACCACACTCTGCTCTGAAACTGGAGTGGTTTCAAAAAGACAAGGGTTGGCCATCCTCCAGAGATTCCCACAGAAATAAGCATGGCTGTTTTTATCCCCGAGCTACTAATGAGCAGCCATCTCATTCTACCTGTTTCAAATGCTGAGGGACCTTGCCCTAGATACCCAACTTCTCTGGGCTTTAAGTGTCTCTTGGGTATAAAGAGTTGGATTGGGCTAAATAATCTCCCAGTTCCTTTCCTGGTGGGGCATTCCAAGATTCTGGGACTCAGAGTGCCTCTTACCTCATGAGGAAATTCATACTCCCTCCACTAATGTCGAGGCCTGAAGCAACGAGCAGGCACGTTTTCAGCTCATCAACTTCAAAAACTGCTGTGCCCTTTGTGGGCCTCTCCCCCTCTGGCCACTCGGAAATAACAGGCCTCAGAGATTTCGTATCAAAACAAAGAAAAATGTACAAAACCTCTTTCCCAAGTTTGCTTCCACCACAGGCTGATTCCCCTCCTTATCTTCCCTGCCATTTCTCGATATTCCTTTTTGCTGCAAATTATTCTAACTGCCAGTCCACAGCCTCTCCAGTCCTTCCTGGCATGTAAGGGGGTAGTAACAACAGTCTCTGGAGTCTGTTGAGATCTTTACTGCCTGCAAAGTACTTTCATATCTATTATTGCATTTGTCCTCCCAGGAATTTACGAGGCAGGCAAGGCAAAAAATTGTCACCCACAAATTACTGACAAAAAAATTGGGGCCCAGAAAGGGCTATGGAGGAAGAGGATGGTGGACATATGACCCCTGTCAGCAGACATGTTAGGCTCCTTCTAACAGAATGAAGGCCAAAGGTCTGTGAAAGCAGACCCTGGGCCAGGGTCTGGCACTGGGAGATGCTCAGTGAGTTTCTTCTCTTGTTAGCGCTGGAATCAGATCAATGAAACCAATGCCAGCTCCTCAGACAAACCAAGCGCTGTCTTTTCAGAGAGTCTCCCTCCCTGATGGGTGATGAGCTGCTTGCAGGTACAGGCAGAGCTTGTTTACCTCCATCTTTATCACCCACGCAAGACCCAGCACAGAGTAGGTGTTCTGTGAATGTTAAATCAAACTGAACTGAGTGAGGGGACAGACAGGGAGGCGATGGGAGGGAGGGGGCAGTTTGGGGAGGGAAGCTGGGGCTGCCTGACAGAGAACTCTCCACTCACGTAGGAGAAGTCCTCGGCATCCTGGCAGAGGAGCTTGGGGAAGACGGCCTGCCTCTGGAACCGCACCTCATCTTCAAAGATGTTGCCATACATGAAGCCATTCATCATGGTGGAGTGGGCGTGGATGTCAATATAAAACTCCAGGCTTGTTTTCTGTTGAGAGAAAGGATAACAAATGAGACATCGGGACCACAGAGTTTGCCTTAAACACACACACACACACATTCCCTTGTGAGCTAGCCCTATGTCTCTTCAGATGTAGCAACACACATCTGCAATGTGATTGGAGGGGTTGAGAGTAGCAAGGATCAATTTCTCCTTACTTTTATTTTTTAAATAAATTTAAATACATTTAAATTATTACTATTTATTATTATTTAGTAAATTTATTTATTTATTTTTTAATTTTTGGCTGTGTTGGGTCTTTGTTGCTGCATGCGGGCTTTCTCTAGTTGCGGTGAGCGGGGGCTACTCTTCCTTGCAGTGCGTGGACTTCTCATTGTGGTGGCTTCTCTTGTTGTGGAGCACGGGCTCTAGGCGTGAGGGCTTCAAGAGTTGTGGCACGTGGGCTCAGTAGTTGTGGCTTGCGGCTCTTGAGCACAGGCTCAGTATTTGTGGAGCACGGGCTTAGCTGCTCCGCGGCATGTGGGATCTTCCCGGACCAGGGCTCAAACCCGTGTCCCCTGCACTGGCAGGCGGATTCTTAACCACTGTGCCACCAGGGAAATCCCTCTCCTTACTTTTAACACCATCCGCCTTCAGGGTCTCAGAGCGCTACCATTAGCAGCCCTCTTTAGAGGTCTTCTGAAGTGATGCTACCTACCCAGAACAGTTAATACATTCATGACTAAAGGCATTAGCAGAATTTGTTTCTCTGATTAATGAGAAACACCTTCAGGTGACATAATTGTATTTCAATTGGGCCTGCTAATGGTTTTGCCCCAAGTGGGCCATTTCTAGCTGAGGGAATCTGGGGTAAATCATGTACCCGCTTCAAAATTTTTATTTGAAAAATGGGTATTTTAATTCCAACCTCAGAGAGTTAGAGTGGGAATCCAACTCAGCGATAATCATTACTATCATTTACTGCATAGTTAATTCACGCCAGACACCATTCTGGGAGCTTTACATAGGACATCTTAGTTAATTCTTTTATTTAACCTCATTTCATGATGCCACACCTACTCCCCAATAATACATAGTGTATGGGAAAAAATAACCTTGTTGTCTATAAAGGTAATTGTGACTAGTCTCTCTCTGCTCTCTGCTCACATGTATTTAAGGCACTCCCTAGCTTGATGCAATGTTATTTGTTAACCTTCTCATTTATGAGCTCCCCGAAGGTAGGGGGATTGCCTGGAAAGCACCCAGTGCCTGTCCGTGAAGGATGCTCAGTAGCCAGATGCAGAACGAATGAATAAACCACCCAGAGGGATCATTCCAGACACTGCAATAGAGTGCCAGGAATGGGGGAATTTTCAGGCCTTAGAACTTCAACGTCCCTCAAATCTGACTTTCCCTTCCTATATATCTGTCCTTTCTGAGAGTAACATGAGAATAACTGGGACTGAAACCCAGGTCTCCTGACCCTTGACACAGTGAACGTATCACCATTAATGGGTAAGACTAGAAACAGCCATGGCAAGACCTGGCCACCTTTCCATCTGCTTTCTAGCATGTAGTCCTGGGAAAGACGAAAAATCCAGGCTTGGAAGAATTCTCCCTCCTTGGGACACTTTCAAACGAAGTTAAAACCGAATGAAAACCATGTTGCTTCTAGAATGTGGGCCTCATGACTGTCATTTCATTTGCCGCAGACTTGGAGTGAAAAATCATGTCTTGCTGAGCTCCCAGTTCTCTGGGTGGCGTAAGATGCCTTCTGAGAGATACAAGATGCAGAGCTCTGTGTGATATTAAACTCATCATTTTCAGCTTTGGAGGTGGAATATGCAGTGAATCAACAGGAGCCCTATAAAAATTATCTTTGCAATTTTATTTTCTTCAATTGTCTGTCTTTTCCTCTGAGCTTTTGATGAGCTGCAGAGGAAAGGAGGTGGTAGAGAGATGACTTAAGAAATGGGTAAGGAAAAATTGCCGTTTATATCTCTGGATGTGGGAGCTATTAGAAACCAGTTTCTCTGACATTTCCCAGATCAGCTCGGAGTGGGGAGGTTTCCTCCTTAAGGTCAGCCAGCAAGTTAGTGAAGGAATAAGAATTAGAACCTGGCTCCTCTGAAAACCAGTCTGGAGTGGCTTCCACTGCCCCATCCTGACACCTGGCACCTAATGTGATTTTACTTTAAACAACCGTAAAGTGAATTATATTGATTGATTTACCTGGTTCAAAAGTCAATAAGATATGAAAGAATTTACAATGAACAATCTCCCTTCTACCCCTGTCCTCCAGGCACCCAGGCACACTCCCCAGAGGCATCTCACATTACCAGTTTCTCATACAAACTTCCAGAGATCATTTACACACCAACAAGTAAATATTCCTCCCCCTACCCACTTTGCCCCAACGCACACAAAAGGTAACACACTAAAAACACGTCGTTTGGGGAATTCCCTGGCGGGCCAGTGGTTAGGACTCTGCGCTTTTCACTGCTGAGGACCTGGGTTCAGTCCCTGCTTGGGGAACTAAGATCCTGCAAGCCGCATGGGATAAAAACACAATAAAAAATAAAAACACAATTTTTGGATCAACCTTTTTCCTCTCAACATATCTTAGAGATAATTCTTTCTCAGTACATGGTTACCTCATTTTTCTAAACAGTCGTATATAAACTAGGCAGTTCCCCACTGACAGACATTTGTTTCCAACCTTCTGTTACAAAGTCTTAGTGATTGACTCTGTTATAAACACCATTTCACACATATACAATTATACGTAGGATAAATTCCTAGAGGTAGAATTTCTGGGTCCTATGTGCATTTGTGATTCTGATCAACATTGATGAACTGACCTCCTTAGAAGGACCAGTTTGCAATCCTAGCAATGTATAACAGCATCAGTTTCATGATTACCTTGCAAACATGGATGTGATCAAACTCTTTGATACTTTCCAATTTGGTGGTGAAAATGATATCTAAGATTAGTTTTAATCTGAATCTCTTTTAGTATAATTATCTTTTATTATATGGTTACTATTTTTCACATATTTAGGAACTATTAGCATTTTCTTTTCTATGGATTGTCTGTTCATTTCCGTTGTCCATTTTAAAAATTGGGTTTCAGGGCTTTATTCCTTATTGATTTATAGAAACTATATACTAGAGAAATTAGCCTTTGTGTGTAGTATAAAATACTTTTGCTCAGTTTGTCATTTGTCTTTTGACTTCACGTCTGCTAGTACTTTTTTTCCATGTGGAAATTTTTAATGTTAACTTTTTAGACAGATTTATCAGTCTTTTGTGGTTTCTGGGTTGAATTCTTTCATTGGTTCTTCTATTATTTCTATTGTTTCACTTCTTATATTTAAAAATTTCATTTCAGTTTTAATTTACATGGACGCAGGGTGTGAGGTAAGGGTTAAACTTTATTGTCCCATACCATTTATCAAGTTGTGCATCTTTTCCCCACTGACTTGAAAAGCCATCTTTACCATATAACTTTCTTGTATGTATTTGGGTTGATTGTTGGACTTTCTATTCTCTTCTAATCATTTGTCTATTCATGTGTCAGTACTACACAATTTTAATTATGTTAAGTTTATAATGTATGTTAATATTTGGAGGGCTAGTATCACCTCATTATGCTTCTTTCCCCATATTTTCCTGTATTTTCTTGCATATTTTTCTATACAATCTTTGTAATTAGCTTCTTTAATTTTCCTTGCTCCCCCAATCCTGTCAAGATTCTTATCACTTTGAGGCTTCCAATCCAAGAATATGCTTTGACTTTACATTTATTCCATTTTCTTTTGGGTACAGCAGAAAATTTTAAAAGCTTTTTTTCTTTTTTTCCTTCATATAGACCCTGAACATTCTTTTTGATGCCAAGGCAGTTTATATTTTTAATTGTTGTTGTAAACATGATATCTTCCATTAAATCTTCTAACTGGTAGTTCTTTATACATATAAAGACTCTGATTTTCAATGGTTTAAATATGTACCCAGACACCTCATTAATTCTATTAGTTCTTATAATAATTTCTCATTTTATTTTTTTGAGTTTTCATTTGCTTACTTATTCAACAAATAACCACTGAGTACCTACTACGTGTCATATAGTGTTCTAGGCACTGGGAATATGCACCAGGGAGTGTTCTGGGCACTAGGATATAGCAATGAACACAACAGAAATCTCCTGATCTCAAAGAGTTTACATTCTATGGGAGAGAAAGAAAATAAACCAATTAATAAAAGTACTAGATGTCAGGAGGTATAAATGCCATGGAACCAAATAAAGCATATTAAGAGAATAGAAAGTAATAGAGGTTCTGGAAAAACAGAGACTTGAATGCAGTAGGAGAGTTAGTCTTGAGGATATCAGGTTAATAGTCTTCCCGGTAGAAGGAGAAGTCAATGTACTTGGCATGTTCAAGGAACAGCCAGGAGGTGAGGATGACTGAGGTGAATAAAGGGGGCAGTATTTTCCAGGTTTGCAATCTTATCACATACACTTAGCAATTTTATCTCCTCTTTTCTAGTTTTTATGCTTCTGATTCCTTTTTTGTATCTAACTGCATTGGCTAGTATCTTCAAAACAATGTTAAAGGACTATTTAGTTTCTAAGATCGCCTCCCACTCTGAGAGTCTAAATTCTACCTGGAGTACAAAAAGATCTAGGGAATTTGCCTGCATAGGGTCTGAGTTTGAAGTCTTAGCTCTTCTTCGTCTTCACTACACATATTCAGCACTATGCTGGCAAATGCCAAAGACCACAAATGCTAATTTCCTCACCATCCTGATGATGTTTGGTGCCTAAACTGGCTTTATGGACTTATGTTGCTTCATTAGAATGGAGCAGGGAAGGCAGAGCAGAGTTCCTACCTCTGGTTCTAATGTAAACATAATCTGTGACCACGAATAAGCAGCAGCTCTTCACTGTGCCTCAATTTCCGCATCTTTAAAAGTAGCTGTTGGATGAGAGAGAAGAGATACGGCTTTCTTAAACTTTTTATGATTTCTTCTCATGCTCAGTTAAAATA